CAAGATTGTTCACGGTATTACGGTACTGTTTATTTGCGCTTTCCTTTCGACGCAATACGCAAAACAAAACACAGTAGGACATAAAGGTCAATAAAAGTTAATATTTAGAAGTCTTGAGACATAACGGCAATTGATTACACCATTTGTGGGTCATTTTGTGACAGTTAATGGTCGATAATATACAATATGATTGTTGTTGCATCCAATGATAATAGGGCCATATACGAGGAAAAATAAGACGTGTCTTACATAAGACGCGACTTAAATGAGACGCGAACTTTACGTATAAACGGCACATTTTGTCTAAAATAAGACGCGGCTTAGCTAAGACGCATCTTATTAGATAAGACATGCTCGTATAAATGGTACAGTTCGCATCTTATTTAAGACGCGTCTTATTTTTCCTCGTATAAATGGCCCTATTGTGTCGTCTCAAGTTACCTTACCAGGCTTTTCGATCTGTGTACCTGTGCCGGTAATTAGAGGTCTTACACGTTTCTCACAATGGCTGAGGTCGCTGAGGTTGAAGACGGCGTGGTAATCATTGACTGTGTGACAATTTTTTTATGAAGAGGGCAAAGGAGGCCAACATTATCGCAACAACAATAAGGTTAGATGTCGGGTTTCGAGAATTGAAAAACGCCTTGAAAAGCTAAGAGAGAAAATTTGGTAGGTTTGCCTCTTACGGGCGCGGCGTGTGAGACAGTCGAGATAGTTGACCCCTGAGAGACTGATGTGCTAGACTAGACTCACTTATCAAAACTAACACTAGATGTGCGTGGAAAGGGTTTTGGTTGGTTTGTTTCTCCCTCTTTCAAGAGTTATTTTTATTGTAGTTAATTAGCTGTTTGGTCGACCGACCAAAAGGTTGAACGAATCAGTAGTTTACTTTCAGTGAAAATTTGCGAACTACCAAAATACCGGTATATGGACATCTGGTGAATAATGCCTGAGATAATTAAACGCGCTAGATGGAAGCAACCGTAAGTCCAAACACTGCACAAGGATATTTTTTCCCATGACAATCTTATTCTAAGAAAACTTTACAAAAAAATGTCCCAGAAAGCGCTTGAAAATACAAACGAAATGTGCTCATGTCCCCCTGGGCATCCTATAATACTCCTTAAATCGAATTAATTAAAATTAAAAGGTCTATTTAACTTTTACGACTTTTTCTCCCACTGCTTGTCTAATCAGATAACAGCGTTAATTTTAACATATCAGTTGTTCTTTGTTTTAAGTCATTTCATAGGCTTCCCGACAAAGTTTTTTATTTCAAGGGGTGACTGAATTTGTCACGCAATGTAATGTTACAAATTAAAATGTCTCTGAAAGCAAAGCTGAAAGCTATAAAACCACTCACAATTTCTTTGAAGATGGTTGATCAAACAGCTTATTACAAACTTATAAACTTGCAGTATTAAAAGAAATGTAAGCTTTGAAAAATAGAATCCCTGTTGTGGAACGAATCAAAGCTGAAATGGTTGCTTTGATAACATTAACTCTGTGTTGACATACACGAGTCGGCAATGGACTTATTCGGTACAGTGAGATAAAAATCAAAAGGTAACAGTTACATATGTGTCTATTATATGATATTCAAGCGGTAAGAAAGAAAAAAGTGCATTGCTAGATGTTATCGCATTTACCAGCACGAGTGAAACGAAAATGCATCATTTTTGTCAATTTTCGATGGCGGTGGGAGGCCAAAATGGCGATTTTGAAACTTTCGTTGATTTTGAAAAAACTTGAGTGCTTTGGGATCTTTTAATTTATTGTATTTTTGAAAATAACTCACTAAAGGCTTTATTTGGGCAAAATATGAAGAAACTGAAAATTTTGACACTGTCGCCAAATTTTCGATATTTACAGAAACTGGCTCTTAATTTCTTTAAACACTTTGTCAATGTTTTGCTGTTTTGGAACAGCAAATGGGCCAGCACTCTCTAGGGTGACGGGGCCATAAAACACACAAGAGATGTGAACATCATCAAACTCTTTGCACCCACTCGATGGAGGAACTTGAATCTTACAAAGCTATCAGCTTGACTGAGTGCACGTCCAATATAGTAATTTTCCACATATTCAACAGCAGCTGACCAGCTATAATTACAATACACCTTTTGTGCTTTTGTTTTCATTTAATTTTCAGGGCTTCTATATATTGCTGATGGTAAACTTTACTCATAAAAAAATGAAATAAGCAATTTTTTTAGCATCATAGTACACATAATATAATTTTCAAGAAAAAATTCACAGACGGTAATGTCCGTAACACTTGGTATAATGTCCGTAACACAACCTTTAGGGAACCAAAACAGTTAGGCCTCAGAGAAATTTAATGTAACTGAAGAAAACTTTGAGCATTTGCCAATAAAAAATATGCATTAGTTTCCTTCAAACGTTTCATAAATCACAGGAACTGAGCCTTAAAAGTCGTGATAAAAATTGGTGGTTGTTTTAGCTGTAATGTCCGTACCAGGCCTTTCAGTCAAAATCAGAGGGAGCTAAAAATTTGTTCTCTGAGTATTTTTTAATTGAGCAAAAGGCAAGTCATTATGGTGCAATGTGCTTGATACAAAACAGCAGTATACTACATATTGTGAGCAGGACAGGAGATCAAAGTTAAAAAATGCTCTCTGAGTGTAATGTCCGTAACGGTGGAATTGCCCAGTTACTGTTTTGCGGCAGTAGTGTTGGAAGTCAACATTGTTACAACAACAACAACATTAAGTTTATTTCTAATTAAATATAGCTTACAAAGCTTGTGCCCACAATTAGCGAAGGCTATTCAAGGCGGATACAAGAGAAAAAAGAAAATTCTATAAATATATGTATATATATACATATATATTAAATGAACAATCGTAGAACCAATCTAGTTTGTCGTGTGGTTTATAGCCAGAGTGAGACAGGAAGGCAGACTGTACTTCATACGGAAGTACACCATGTTACGATTTTGAGAATGGCCCTGTAATATCAGAAACTCTAATATAGTTGTCCTCTTTTTCCAGTATTTCAAAGAGTTTCTCTTTAGTTTGCTTTTAAATTGATTTTTTTTAAGTGTTTGATAGAAAGTGGAATACTGTTCCTCATTAAAGCACCAGAAATAGAGAAGGCTCGCTTCATATTTACAGTTCTAACTTGTTCAACGTAGTAATTTTCATTAGTAACAGATCTAGTCCGGTAATTTAGGACAGAAGACAGTTTCGTGAACATATTCTTAATGTTATCAGGAGCAAAATTTTTATTGACGTCGTACATTAAAAGGCTCATTTGCTCAAATAGCAAGAACGATATCGCAACTGTTTTGTTTCTAAAAACAACGGAACTGCATGAGTTCTTGGTTCAGAACATTAGCCTAAGGGCTCTCTCCTGGAGAACCAGTAGTTTATGAAGATGCATTTCAGCAGCATGACCCCAAGCACAGGTACCATAACTGATATAAGGCAAAATTAAAGAGCGGTATAAAGTGAGAAGTACATGAAGGGGAACAAAATGTCTGAGCTTGGCGATAATTCCGATTGTTTTACTGACTTTTTTAATACATTCATAATTAATAGTACAGTGTTTGAAGCTGCGTAAGGTGCATACATGTCGGTTTATACATCAGCTCAGATAGAGATAGATACTAGTCGTATTAATTATGAATGTATTAAAAATCACATACTGAGTTTCTCACAGCTAGATTCTTTGATATTCAATGTGTACTTTGCTACAAATTGTGTAGCCAGCGTTTGAGAAGTGTAATTAATTTTTATTTCATTGCGTACCCCTGTAACCAGGGTTTATCAGCTTCTATTTACAAGCAGTCAAACAATCTCAATGGAGAATTTAAATGGTAAACAAAATCTTAGACCTGAGAAGGGCAGCTGTAACTATCTTGTGAAATTCTATAGTGAGATTGATACAGTTCATGCGGAGTATACTGGATTATCTCGTGTATCTCCCTTCTGCCCTCGTGTTTCCTGTGTGGCGACACTTTGAAATGAGTCATACGGTGAAGTTTGGCCATTGATAATATAGTTTGAGCACAATACATGACAGGAAGATGGTAATATAATCCTCCTTTGTCTGCTTGTAACTGACTGACTGGCTGATTGAATGCCTGATTATATATTACTGACTGAGTGATTGATTGATTGAGCAACTTACAGTACCAAGATACTGACTAATTGAACAACTTACTGACAGGCTGACTGTGCAACTGGGTACGTAACTGGCTGACAGAATGAATGATTGAGCAATTGACTGAATGACTGACTGACTGCAAGCAACTGACTGACTGACCTAGGGACTGACTGGGGTCTGCAAAGCAGGGTCACTTTAATAAAGCTTTTACAAGTGTAATTTACAAGTGCATCCGTTATTTTAGAGTTTGTGTTTATCACACCCTGAACAAATGAACATCTTTACTCATTCCAATGAGCTTCATTCTTCTGTTGTCTTGTACAGAGTTTTATGATAACAAGAATTAAAACAGAAGAAAGTTATACATAATCAAACCAAATAATGAATACAAAACAAAGAATGTACTCAGGGAGAAAACTATTAAAAAAAATAAAAAAAAAACACGCACAGTAAAGATATATCCGAACTGTGAAGGACAATACATAACAGATGGGGACGGTATACGAGTGATCCTCGAATAATGGTCACAAAAAAGGGTAGGATAAGTGACCTGGAACTTAAATTAAGTCCCCGGAACTGCTGGTCCTAAATCAGTGGAAACGGTCTGAAACAATAGCTACACTTGTAAAATTATATATGCAAAAGTTCTATAAAATTGATACCAGAAGTGCTAGAACAGTCAAAAGGCATATGTTTATAAATGTTATAATAATATGTAGTAAATATTATTATTCCAACATGGTTGCCCTCATTGGTATTCATGAAAATGTGATGCTGTCAAACCTCTTTAATATCAATGTACTGGGAAATGGGTCTGTTGGAATAATCACTGACAAACTTCATTGAATGTTTTAAACTTTTGTTTCCAGATCAGATGTCACAGAAAGACTGGACAAGGACTTTCACGAGGAAAGAGCCTCTGTTATCTTCAATACTGTATGTGCTCTATGTTTTGCTGTGTAATCCAGCTCTTGAGTGAACCAGATAAACAGAAATGTTGGCCAGGTGATTTTAAAGTGTGATTATGCTAATCCAGGGAAAGCTGTTATATTGTACTTTATTCTTTCATTTCATAGTTATTTCACCATCAAGTGCACCACTTTTGGGAGTAAAAGTTTATCAATCTTACTTTTCCCAATAAAACAACAACAACAACAAAAAGTAAAAAAACGTGCAAAATAAAATGCAAAGTAAAAGAGCAAAATTCCAAATTAAAATTAAATCAAGTACAGTTGTACAGCTTTGTCAGCATTATTGTGGTGAAAATAAAAATTTAACACAGGATCATCTAATTGAGTGTAGTTCTGAATAGCTACAGCTGTTGGTGATTCAATGACTGGCACGTCAAAAGTGTATAAAAGAAGTCAACAGGGTCGAAGAGATATTTTATTATTGACTTCTGAAAAAATAATATTGGTATTTCAAGACCAGGCAAATAAAATCATTATTTTCAAGGGATGCATTCAGAATTTCTGTTGAACTTTGTACATGTATGAATTGTACATTTTGCATGAAACATGGCTTGCAAACATAAGTTTTGTCTGCAGGGAATCATAATACAAAGACAGCTCAAACTCAGTGAAATCTGTCTGGTTTCAAGAACAATGATAGTTTGATTGACTGCTAAAATTCCAAGAGACAGGCACTTGTTGGTGAAGTACTCATTATCAGAAAACTAATGCAAAAACCGTGGACAGTTTAAGTTTTCTCCTGGATTAGCATTTATCGACTTTGTTCAACTGTGTCACACATTTGAAACAATAGCCAAGTTCTGCTGTTACAATAATAATAATAATAATAATAATAATGATTATTATAATTATTATTATATTATTATAATGTTGTTATTATAGTACCTGTTAGTGTAGATATGCAATCTGTACTCTCAAATTTCTTACTACATTGATCCATTCAACTGACTGTCTGACAGAATAACTGACTTTACTGCAGGCGATTATACAACTAAATAACTCAGTGATTTAATAACCAGGGATTAGTGCTTAACTGGGACTTAATAACCCAGGGATGGTAAGAATGACTGGGGCAAGTAGGGGGGACTAGGATGGGATGACTAGGATCACTGGGATGACTAGTTTGACTGGGATTACTAACACTGCAGCAAAACGCACTGCTCATGATCACAAAATTTAACATCCGGTCAGATTTTTATTTCCAGTCTAGTAAATAAACCAATTGCATAAGCATAACACTGCTGTCGTGCCACATTTAAAAGCAAAAGGCTGAAACAGACAAAAAAGGAGGCAAAAAAAATCACTTATTAAAGAAACCATGTCATTATTATCATTAACACTAAAAACAGGAAGTAAAAGTTTAGACTGTTCATTATTTGTTTTTATTATCAGAGAAACCAAAAACTCAAAACAAAAGATGGGCTAGATTTATATTAATAGCAACCTTGACTTTGATGACTACATTCACAAATACCCGGAGCTTTTGGTGTATTGAATGATCTTGGCTTGGGAAACTCAACATGCCTAAAATCAAGAAATAGCCTATTTTATTTCTTATTAATTCTTTTCCATGGTTGATCTTTGGTTGAAGACTGTGTGGCTCCGCTGCATCTCATGTGAACACGAAACTTCCAGCTGCTAAATACTTGGTATGAAAATTTCGACTTCTAAAAGCCATTGAACCAGCTTTTGATCTCTGATTCTGAGAATGACAAAAATAAATAAATAAATAAATAGAGTTGTTAACTTGCTGCCAACCTCAATGGTATAATTAAGCTCATGTTTTATGGCAATCAACTCAGAAGAGCTTCATTTTAAAACAAGAACTCACTAGTAAGCTTAAATAAAACTACAAAGCAATTGTGTTGTCCTTTTCCAAATAAAGCTCAAAGCGGGTTTAAGACATTAAAAGTGAGAAATTAAAGAACCGAAAATTAGAACTACAATACACAAGGTTGCAGTCATAACTTTTTATGTCTTACTTCAGCCAGGTTAAGTGAAAACTTTGTTTTCGTGAAAGAAAATCAGTTAACCTGATGCTCAAATTAGCCAAAATGCCACAAGATATTATCAGCTTCTCTTTTCTGAATCTAATTGACTAATTGTTTACTGATCTGTGCCTGGTTATCCATAAAAGCAATTTCAATAAGTACAAAATAGTCAAAAATACAAGCAGCGTAAACCAAAACAACTGAACCACAAGCTTCACACAGAATGAAGTCGAGCGCACCCGGGAGACTTTGAACTGACTGGAAAGGGTGGCTGAAAAAGTGACTGGAAATGCTCAACCTGGCGCATGCGTAGACGTTTTGCTGCAGTGTTGGGATTACTAGGATGACTAGTAGGGTGACTGGGATGACTAGGATCACCACCCCAGTCATCCCAGTCATCCTGACTAGTATGACTTGGATAACTTAGGTGATCGAGATGATTAGGATGACTAGGGTGACTGGGATGACTGGGATCACTAGGATGACTGGAATAACTAGGATTACTTGGATGACTAGGATGACTGGGATGACTAGGGTAAGTAGAGAGACTGGGATGACTACTATGCCTGGGATGACTCTGGTCACTGGGATGACCAGGGTGACTGGGATGACTAGGGTGACTGGGGCGTCTCAGATGACTGGGATGACTAGGATAACTGGGATGACTAGAGTGACTGGGTTGACTGGGACGTCTGGGATGACTAGGATAACTGTGTTGACTAAGGTGACTAGGGTGACTGGGATGACTAGGATAACTGGGATTACTAGGATAACTGGGGTGACTGGGATGACTAGGGTGACTAGGATGACTGGGATGACTAGAGAGACTGGGATGACTAGGATGACTGGGATAACTGGGATGACTGGGATCACTAGGTTGAGTGGGTTTTTTTAAGGTAATTTGCTTTGCTGATGGCAAAATTTCCAAACTTGTTACTGACTGACCTGTTTTAATACTGGCCGAACAAGGATTTGCTAAACTGAATAGCTGAACACCTATTGATATTTATTCTGACTGAATCAAATCAGTGCAGAATGGTCTGACGTTTAACCCAACTGTTTCAAAAGACATACTGATGTTTGAACTGACTTGTATGACAGCTGGAGGGTCTGACCAGTGGTAGTATTTTGGATGTGTTTTTTAATGGTATAGTTGGTAGATTGCATATCTGTGCTGACTCGTATATTCGTCTTCTGAGAACTAGATGAGTGCATTTCAAATCTCCTTTTGCTTTATCCAGCAAATTTTCAGCATGGAAGTACGTCTTAGGAATGACTGAATGCACATCACGTTGATGATGTGCAGTTTAGTGGTTCTTGCTGACTATTAATTATTTCATAGATTACAATACTTATAAAACCAATAAAATCATCAGCCGACCTAAGACATCGTTTGATGAGGGGGAGGGGGCTGTGGGAGAAGAGAAGTGTTTGTTCTTAGGTAAAACGGCAGACGTGGCAAATTGGCAAATTAATCTGTTGTTTTGTTTTAGAGCTTGAATATCTGACTGACATTCATCACTGCAACAAATTACCTTCCTATTCGTAAAGGCGATTTTTCAGTTGAAGTGAATAAAATGTCTATATTCTTAAATTCAATTCCATTTTCATTTCACGTTCAGGGAAAATTTAGGCTACATAGTTTTCATCACAAGAAAATACGATTTGGCATTGGTGAACTGGAATATTACTTTAATTTGTTTTAACTGATTGCGAATTTGGATTGCGTGCCTAGCCTTCAAACCTCTGTGGAAAACAACAGCAAGTGCTTTGAGTATGGATCTTGTGGCTCTCATTCTGACATTCGTTGAATTAATTTTGCTAAGATAATCAGTCTAATGATTGGAATAAGAAGTACACAACAACAACAACAACAAAATTTCTGCTGCAGTGTTTTAAAGTACGTTTGACAAGCTCTGAATAACACCGGGTGTGGAAAATTTAGTATACTTCTGAGGAGGTAAAGTGGGGAGATTTTGAAAACTTGCACTCATCGTTTTCAATTCCAGAGTGATCAACATGTTATTCCTCTTTATTTCTTAAAGTACATTACCGAGCAGGAGGGTGTTGATAATAAACGTAATTATGGTGAGTGGGGAGGCTTTGTCTTGATCAACTGTCAAATTCTCAGAACTGATGGTCAAGAAAATCCGCTGCAGTTAGTAAAGAGAATAACATGTTAAAGTTTGGGACTGAAAGTTCACAGTAACCTAAAGGACTTCAGATAAGCAGTTTGTTTTGTAGTAACAGTGCAATCCTTAAATACATGTGCAAATTGAAATTCTTATTAACAGCAACTTGTATCAAACTTGGAGTCTTTTTTTTAGGCCGTTATTTAGGCTTGTCACGCAAAGTCATGAAGCCAAAAAAACGGCTGCGAAGAAGATCACACGCAAGTTTGACATCGGATTTAGAGTATAATGATGGTTTTTTTTGTTAGGTTTTTTTTTCTATGTGCATGTATTTTGTGGGATGCCGTTTAATGAAAAACAAACCGCTTACTGAAAAAGTCTGAAATTTGTCCCCTTATGTTTTTCCAACTTTTGGAGCATAAGCAATCACAAATGAAGACGGCAACAACAATGGCACCTAACAAAAGGCTTTACATGTACGCTCGCTTTAATTGTTTGGACATTTATTCGCTTTTGTATGCAAGTAAACAAAAATGTGATAATCAGAAGTTTAAGGTTTGAGAACACAAACATTTACCCATGTAATATCTATTTCAAAACGCGCGCGTACAAAGTTCAAATTCATAGGCAAATTTATAATGCTGTGAAAGTTAAAACAACAGATGGCTTTCCCAGCTCGCTCGCTTTCATTTTTTTGCACATTTATTTGCTTTTGTACACAAAGCAACAAGAAAAGTAATAAAAAATTTAAGGATTTGAGACGGAACACAAACATTTAGCCATCAAATATCAAATTCAAAACGTGTGCGTACAAAGTTTGAATTAAAAGGTAAATCAGTTAAAATGCTGGGAAAATTTAAGCAATAAATGATGTTCGCATAACTGCTAATTATTTTTTCGAGTGCCGATCTTGCTGCCGTCGCTTGGTTGATTGCTTAAAGCTTTATAATATGCGAAGCAGAACTTGGCTTATGATAAGGCTCGGACAAACAGTGAAACATTACGCGCAGTAACTTTGTGCTGTGTTTCTACTCCTATAAAGACTTATAAAGGAAAATAACAACGCAGTATTTTTTTTTTGCTTGGAACATTTCAGACAAGGTTTTTAGGGGTGGAAACACAGTGTAATTTTAAGGCTGGTTTTTACTAGCAGCGTACCACAGACTTAAGTTTAGCGAGGCCATCAACAATTGAAGTTTACTAAAATACAAAACTGAAGGTGTGAGCACAAAGATTATTCTTGTTTTCTCGTCGTAAAGGATTAACACAACACGAGCTGAGCACAACAAAACAAAATTTGTTTTGGTTTATCTTGCTTGTGCTTATGTTGTGTTAATTCTTAGCGCGGAAGAAGAATTATAATAAGTGCGTGGGTTTCCTAAAGTTGTGCTTATCTTTTTGTTGTTGATGTCTTCACTAAAATGACGCTTGTGTTCATCGCGTTAGTAAAAACCAGCCTTCACTGCGTGTAATGTTTCACTGTGTCTGAGCCTTTAGGGTATTTATCTGGTTCACTCAAGTAGTTGGATTACAAAGTAAACAGCACACGTACTGAAGATAACAGTATTTTATTGAACGAATAAAGCTTGTCTCTGTTGTCCATTTATTTACAATAAAAAAATACAAAAAAAAAGTAATCTAGCCTCCCCCGTCCCTGCCGGGTTACTTCCACTCTTCTCCAAGTCGGGGTTCATTCTTTTGTCCTCATTTGATATTCCAACTTTAAAATCCTGGTCTGTTTTATCTGATCCCTTCATTCAAGCTGGGGGCAGTTGGACACTTAGAAAATTCAGCCGTTTGTTCCCAAGTGGG